TGGCGAAAAAATTTCTTACTAAACAACTAGGTTACTTTTAAAGAACGACTGTTAAATGGAAAATTAATTCGCAAAAATTTATGGTCATTTATGCTAGTGACCGCAACAGGTAGGTGTAAAGCAAAGCCATTCATGCAGTCAATGACCTGAGTACTTCCAGTCCGGCGCAAAAACGCACGATCGCACGGGCCCGCCCGGTGCGTTCCACCCTGAGTTTGAAAATGATTTAGCTGTTCAATAAGTAGTTTTCTCACCAAAACTTTTATGTGCCCGTACGTGGGTAACACTCGTGATGGAGGCTGAATCTGAAACTTTTACGTTGTACGTGGACGAGGAACAACCCCCTAAAATTTCAGTCTTCCGGTTTCCCTGGTCTCCGAGTTAGCAATTTTCCCGCCAAAACCTTCATCTCCCGTACGCGAGGCTCCTACGTGCGTGAAAGCTAACACTACCCTTCTAAGGTCACACTTGTCAAGGGAAACAACTGGCAAAATTCTAACATCAAAGCTTGCTTGGTTGCCGAGTTGACGGATAGACACACACGTACACATGCATGCACATATACATACACATGGGTCGTCACAATATATGCTTTCGCATTTGAATATGCAAAAACGCATTAAAATAAAGAGTAGTTGGGCTAATGACAACTCTTGTACTCTTCTGTTTTGATGTCATAAAATTTTACAGCATTTTGTGGATAATAACTTTTGGAAATCAAAAGCGCTGCCTTCGACTTCGCTATTGAAACACGGTATACTATTGAACTATTGTAGGCAGAGGTGCTGATGTTCAAGATATTCCTAAGTCATTAGGGTATCTATTTGACGGATCGAAACATTCCTGTTCCACTGAACTATTTTTTATATTTTATGCGCATAATTATTACAAATTTCATTTACATCATCGCTTCTAGAGGCGGAAATTTTTTGGACAAATTACAGGCGCTCAACATACACTAATGATATCTTAAAAAAGCTAAAGTGTCAGATCTTTTTATTCGCTAAGCTCATAACCTCTTCAGAGGTCGAAACTAACAAAACTTCTTGTTGAGTTACAGCTGAAAGAACAGTACCACATAACTGAGCACATTTTCGAACTAGAGCAGCGAGTGACATTTTCGATCTCCCTGTTTTTAAACCCTCTTTAATCACGTCTTTTCTTGTTCAAAAATTAAAATTTCTTAAGATTAGTTACCTTGCTCTTTGGAGCGACTGATGACACTGTACTGTTGATCGCTGTTGACATCCGATAAATTTTCAACAGATGTTGTCATTGCCTGGAATGAAAAGCAAGCTTGTTTACGAGCGATACAATTTTTACCATTTAGGAAGGACAATGCAAAGAATTTATTTAAAAAAAAAAGGTTTTCTGTGTGCAAGTGACTAATTCAGCAAGCTATTATTCAGTTAGTAGTAGCGAAAAAAAACTTTTTTAGAAAATAGCAAAGCAGCAGCAGGCGGACCATCGGTCGTTGGGCCCTTGGGGAGTGAGGGAAGTAAGAAGGCAGCCGAAATTTTCGATAAAGGGGATAGGGAGTGGGGAGGCAGGGAAAGAAGGAATGTCCGATAAAAGTTATTGCTCTCTCGCTTTTCCGTTAAAATTCTGAAGATCAGTAAACTGGACTTCAGGTGTGGATTTCGCAAATGTTGCGTAGGTATAGCAAGGCATCAAGTGGATCTTTTTGCAGGAAGACTGTATCATTAGCATCGGGAAAGCCGTCCGGGCAATTAATGTAAGATCTTATCTTTTGAAAAAAAAGCATAAACCGAAACTGGATTTCTGCTTTTACAAAGCGTCTACGTGCAAAAAAAAAAAAAAAAACAATTTGAAAAAAAAATCATATCACTTGCTTGACCGAAATAGAAAAAAAAATAAACTATAGCACAAGACAATCAACACACACCTTCTTAGACATGTCCATACGCAGGAAGTGCTGAAATGGACAAATTACGTTTCTCAGAAACACTTTTGGGCATGTGCGGGATGATGAAGGAGAGCAAGAGACAGAAAAAGAATCAATTCGTTTTTGCTGTCATTAAATTCCTTTGTTGAGAAATAAAATTGTGAAAAATTAGCTCTATATTTAAGATCACTGGCGACGCACACGGGACGGGCCTATGCGATCATGCGTTTTTGTAGTATTTCGTTTCGTTGTAAGGTCTCTTCGAGTCCAAATAGCAAGAATTTGTGGCATACCGGCCCTGGAAGTTCAGGAAATTAATTGTGCAAATTTTAAGCACTCGTACGCAGGGTCTAGACGTGCATGGGGGTTGTAGCTCGGTCCTGGGGCGACATTTGGCCGGGAAACCCAGTGACAGAATTCTGATCCCGCAGCTTGCTTGGTTGCAGAGTTGAAATACCCGGACAGATGCACACACACAAATACATACTCCGGGATAGTTACAATATGCGTTTTGCATTTGCACATATGCAAAATGCATAAAAAAGGCACAGCCGCAAAAACATCCAGTGTGCATAAAATTCAATGCAGTGAAAAACAGGGCGATGCCAAAATGGTAGAATAAATTTCATGAAAGAGCGTAATTTTACTCAAAAATACTAACTTGCGCGCTTTTCTCTTAAGCCTAAAAAATTTTTGAAACTTTTGCACAGGAATGCTGCTAATATGAAGAACATCTGGAGAGGAAAGACCGACTATTTTGGGAATTTTGCCACAAGCAACCTGAGTTATGCTTTTGCAAAATTTCAAGCTGCATTTCCGGAACCCGAACTACTGCATAACCAGGAACGCAGTTTTTTACAGCATCTTAAATTTAAAAGTCGAGAAACAACTGTTCAGACAAACAGCCAATAAAGGAAAAATTTTAGAATCACGTTTTTCAACCAATAATTCGATCAGACAATCAGCAACTTCTACAGTACAAGCAGTTGAACGACTGATTGTCATTCACTGCCTAATCATCACTAATGGCATGACAGCAGCGAATTTCTTCTGAGGAATCAGCATTTAGCAGTCTTTACAGCACAACAAATTTCTAATCGAAAAATATAGCTTCATTGCTTCACAGATTTGCCTTATTTCTAAAACTGTGTACAAAAAATCGGATGTTGTCAGTAGAAATCCGCTATTTGTTCTCTTCAAAAACCAACAAACGGCACAGAAAAAGCGCATACTGTCAGATATAATTATTTCTAGAAATGTAACGATGCAGTCAGCGCTTAACGGTCAGAAACACTTTTTGCCGATAATTGCTGTTCTCAACAGTGGTGGTATTCGTTATTTACGACTTTTCCTTAACAATTTCTCAATCCAGCTTGCTTGATTTAATTTTATAGTATCAAATTCATTATCATGTAGATGTTCTTCAGGGGAAAAAAGACTAAAGTCTTCAGTACTTCGAGATAAAGTTTAGGGCTTAAGGCCTACATCCCTTTCCCCCTACAGGGGAAAGGGATGTAGGCCTTAAGCCCTAAACTTTATCTCGAAGTACTGAAGACTTTAGTCTTTTTCACAGTGTGAAAACGCTCGCCGCTTTATAGCAAGCAGAAAATAATTAGAAAGAGCTACACTAAAAACAATAACAGCTGTTTGTACTGATGCAGACAACGTTGTTGGAAAATGTAGGAAGAGGAGAAATAACTACAAAATGTACGTTTTGACACATACGCCAGTGGCAGATGGTTTTTGTTTAGTGGATACAAGCACTGCTCCTTTCGTTTTACTTACAAAAGTAAACAGAGCTAACCGTATCTTGAGTAGAAGGAGACAGTGAATTTGTTGCGGAGACGAAACGTGGTGCAGCTCCTTCTGGGCTTGCTCCGCATCGCAGACCGTCGTCCACTTGAACAATGATATTCAACATTTCACGCTTCCCTGCCACTGCCCCAACACCTTGCAGTTGAGACGGTGTTTGCGCTGAATAAGTTTCTTTTAAATTCAATTGAACCAATACCTAGGAATAAGTACAGCAAAGTGCGATATTTTGAACAAGGAAACAGCATTTTTTTCTTTTTTTCCGGTGAAGGAATTTGTCTTTGAAGCTTTCGTGCAGTTTTGGGCAAATAAAAGATGCTTTAAAAAATCCTATGAATTTTTGAAATACAAAACCCCATAGTCCTTGTTCAGTGCCCGAACGTCGAACACGCTGCGAAGTGTGAAGTGCCCGAACGTCGAACAGGCCGCATGAGAACGCAGGAAAAAAAAAGCTGACACGAATTTCAGGCAGAAAGCATAAGCAGTAAAGGCCTGAGGTGGCTGTGCTGGTCATACGGTTTTACTTCAAAAGCTTCTGCAGGTTTACAGCGGTAGCTGCACTGTCAGCAAAAAAAATTGGCCAACGCACGGGCTGCCCGTGCGAAGATGCGTTTTTTGCAGAGGTCCCTGCAGTTTTTGTCGTTACCAGCATCGGTTTTTTCGGCAGATGCTTCTAGTAGAAAGAATTTGAGACTGGCCGCCAGAACTG